TATGTGGTAAGAGTACATTTCTATTAAAGCAGAGAATTTTTTTTCTTTAGTATTTGAACTTTAGATGTTTGTTTACATTTGTAGAAATAAATTTGTGTTAATATAAAGGCTAAGTTTTAAGACAAAGGAAATAAAAGTTACTAAAAAAGAATGATAATGTGATAATGTCCATCTCAGAGGAGTTTTTGAGACTGAAAAAAATATTATATTTGAAAATATTTAAAGAACCAGATAGCTGTTATAATTAGAGACTTGGAATGTGAATGAGGTAAATGAATAATCAAATGAAACTATGTATCAATAGACACATGGGAAGAAATAATTTCTAAGATAGCTTTTAATTTTCCCAATATTTAGGCAGAAAATGAAGAGCCCTTGCATCTTCTACATTCACAGAATAGACAAGGATATAGAAGATCATTGAATTCTTCAATCTTTTCTCCTATATCCAGCAATCAATCTAATGCTTATACAAAGGGAAGAGACCCTACTTTCAAAGGTATACAAATTGCATGCTACTATTGAAATAACTGAAAGTTAAATGCATCTAAATTTGGAATACAAGCATTAAGAAAATCCTTTACTAAAGAATATCAATCTTTGATCATACTACCATATATGTCATGATTTAGGAACATTTCAAGACTTTCTAATACAAAAATGATAAAGTCCAGATTACTTGGTATGACATATAGCATACAGAATCTTTCTAGCCTTCTAGTCTTCTAACTCCTTTGTGATTTGATTTATTATTCATTGATTCATTCTGGGTTTTGTTTGTTTCTTTTTATGGGGGTACCAGGGATTGAACTCAGGGACACTTGGCTACTGAGCCACATCCCCAGCCCTATTTTATATTTTATTTAGAAACAGGGAGTCACCGAGTTGCTTAATGCCTCACTTTGGCTGAGTCTGGCTTTGAACTTGCCATCCTCCTGCCTCAGCCTCCTGAGCCACTAGGAGGCTGCCACATATTACAATACAAAACAACTCAAAAGAATATTCCAAATGTCAGCAATTTCTTTTCCTAGGAGAAAGGAACAACACTAGAAGAACCAGTAAAAAATATTCTCGTTAATTGTCCTCCAGGTGTGAACCACTGCTCATGGACCATTCTGTTTTGTTTTTGTTTTTGTGTTCTGGGGTTGAACTCAGGGGCATTAACCACTAAGCCACAGGCCCAGCACTTTTTATTTTTTATTTTGAGACAAGGTTTCACTAAATTGCTTAGACCTTCTTAAAGTTGATAAAGTTGATATTCTAGATAACTGTGTGGATAATAACATCCATTGAAAAAGAGAAAAGTTTTTTTTTATCCCTTTGTAAGAATGAAACAAACAAACAAGTTCCCCCAAAGAAGACTTTCCATTATGTCTCCTTGGCTACAATAGCCTCACGTATCCATATTGCCGCAGTCTGGCTGGGCACAATTCAGGAGCCACTTGTCAAAAGAAACTAACTTTATTTTTAGAACTACAAACGCCAAACAAAACAGCTCCTCAGGGAAAAA